ATAAGTAAGGAAGCGTAAGACTTTGTTGGAAACAGCCGTAACAATCTCATCCAGTATATTCAAATCGTCAAACACAAATTTAATCAAACACGCGACTATGATAGCCACAAATCGATCTTATACACTAAGGAAATTAATGACTGTTGCTAATACCCCAGTATCTGTTAAAAGCAAGGAGCGAGGGGTAAGTGTTGGAAAGAGAAATGGCAAAAGACCCCAGTACCGTTTTCTTCAAACGCCATCGCGTTATCCACTTAGCTACTGCGATGGGGTGAGGTTTACATCCAATTAGTTTTGTTTGTTTGAATCTTCCCATTGACTTTAAAAGCTGCAATTGATCATTCTCTTATTTGCATATTTACATACTGTGCATACTGCCTCGATATTACCTTACGTCACAAGCATTACAGGCAAAAATACATGGTAGCGAGCAGTGGAATCCAGGTACAGTCGAGTGATTGGACCACAATCTACTGAATATTACCAAACACCTGGAACCGTATCGAAACAACAAAAATCGAGCTCAAAGAAATCAATCGGTTTATGCCAGCTCGCAAAAAAGATATTAGATTAGTCATGAAAAACTCATGCAAACGTCAGGGATGCCGTTTTGCTGTTACAATTGGCATGCAGTGCGACAACTGCATAGGTTGGTTCCACGAAGCATGCACAGATCTGACAGCAACTGCTTACTACAGACTCAGCAAGTCAGACCAAAAGTGGGTATGTGTCACGTGCAGCACGGACGCTGTAGTCTTGCTGAGTAACATCATTGTCCTACTGACAGGTCTTCGGAACAAGTTGTCAGTTAACTTGGATAACACTAGTAAAAAATCCGGTCGACAAACAAGAGCGTGTGACGGACTCAAAAATAGGGATGTCGACAGGCATACCAACGATGGAGCATCCATCAACACTAATGACGACGTGTTGAGGCTCAGCACCATCATTACGTCGACAGTACTAGACTCCCTAAGCAAACTCGGGTCTCCCAGCTCAGGGTCCCTGAACACAACAGTGGTTCCCAAAAACCCTGTAGGTGATTCGACCCACGTTAAGAGAGCCCAAAAGAACCAGGCATCACCGCCTAAGCCGAGCAACCCAAGTGTTGCTGTACGGAAAATAACTGGTGATTTGGTCGCACAGTCTACCCCCAAGACTGTTCGTCCGGTCAACAAAGAGCCCAAGACTCAAAAACGCGCACTGACCTCCAAACAACAAGTTATTAAACCTGAACCCATCGTGAAACCTGGTAAATTAACAACAGTTCGTGACGATTCTCTCATTATCATGAACCTCGTTGACAATCCTGACCTTCCTCTCAGTCTGCAGGACAAAAACGACAGGATGCTCTGGGGTGAATTGAACAAGAAGCTCGAACTTCCTAGAATAGAGCCTTTGACGGTCACCCGGCTCACTCGAGGAAAGGATTCTAAGCATCTAAATCACCCGAGGCTTCTCCGAGTAACACTTAAGAATGCTACCGACGTAGAGGACGTCTTGCTAGCAAGTCACTTGCTGAAATCAGATGGTAACGTAAGAATATTGCCCGACATACCGTACTCTGAGCGCAATATCATACGAAACATCCCTAAAGAATCTCGCGAGAAGTTTTTCCGCGGAAGAAACATAATTGTCAAGGTATACCGGAAAATGCAGACCCTACTCAATCAAATTCTGACATCAGGGAATGGAAATTCATCAAACAGTCCTTGAGGCTCAAACACATACTGACTCAGCATGTGACGAGACTAGCCAAGAAGGACGGTGATCCTAGACCCCGTCTAATGAAGATAACCTTCCCATCTTCCCACATGGCGGCTGCAGTTCTGGAAGCATTTCGTGCCAACAGACGTCGATTGCCACCTGGAATCCACATGCACCCGGATAGGCCATACGAAGCTAGGACCAAGAACAAAGGCAAGTTGGAGCTGACCATTCCACTTGTGGACTGTCTAAACGATAAAAAAACGTGTAAAGGACAGGGCCTACCACCTCGGCAAACCTCATATAGGTGGGCTACCTGTCCATTCACATAAGCTCACGCGTTCCAAATTGAAAGCATAAACTGCTTATATATGAACGCCGCGAGTCTACCAAACAAACTGGATGAACTACGTGAACTTAGCAACGCTAATAAGGCCCATCTGATAGGAATATCTGAAACCTGGATATCTTCTCAGTTCTCGGACCAAGAGTTAGCATTACCTGGGATGACTTTGTTCCGCAACGACAGAAAAACAGGAATTGGGGGCGGAGTAGCCATATACATAAGCTCTTGCTTGGAGGTGCACCAAGTTCACAACCTCGAGTTTAACAATCTTGAGGAATCCATATGGTGCTCTGTAAGATTGTCTAGTACTTCGAGGTGTCTAGTCGGAGTCATTTACAGGAAGCCAACTGCCGACATCGAGTACGATAGTCGTATGCTGGAAGGACTATCCCGCTCTATCCGTCTCGGTTTCACACACATCCTGATTCTAGGGGACTTTAATCTCCCTAGAGTCAACTTCGCGGAACACACGTACACTGGAGGCGACAACTCAATTGAAGCTCGGTTCTCAACCTCATCGATGACTTGGGCTTATATGAAAATGTGAGGTCGGCAACTCGTTGGAGAAACAGTCAGACACCATCGCGCTTAGACTGTGTATTCACTAACGAAGAATTCCTAGTCGACAACCTCTCAATCCTGGCTCCTCTGGGAAAGAGCGATCATGCCGTCATAGCCTTCAGTTTTGTCATCAAAACTAAGCTAAGGTATCCCAACAATAATTTGCGTTGGAATTTTAAACGGCTGAATGTGCCAGCTCTACATGACTATCTACAACAGGTGGTTTGGGATGTTCACCCTCAACTCGATGTGGATGGTCATTGGGACTTCTTACTGCACACGCTCTTATGTGCTACAACCATTCAGTTCCTCAAACGGTTCCCAAAAGCTGCAAGCCACCTACAGTAATCAAGAACCGTACCCTTCGCCTGCTAAGCCGCAAAAGGCACTGTTGGGCGGAATACAAACGAACTAATAACGATGGAGCGTATAGGCAATATAAACATATCAGGAACATATGCACGAAGGCTATAAGAGAAGACAGGCTTCAGTACCAAACAAAGCTTATGGACAAATTCGCCTCTAACCCTAGAAGCCTATTCCGTTATGCAGCCTCTCTTCGTCAAGCCAAAACAGGAGTTTCTCAACTGGTAGGTCTTAACGGCCCGACCAACAACGATGGCGACGCCGCTAACCTTCTGGCGGCACATTACTCTCAAACATTTCAACCGGCTGACATCAACTTTACTGACGACAGTTTCATCTGCAATTCCACAGGACTTTCTGAAGTGGACCTAAGCGCTGACTTGGTGTTCCGGAAATTGCAGCACTTAAGACTAGACACTTCTCCTGGCCCGGATATGGTTCATCCTGCCATACTGAGGGAGGCAGCCTCAATCCTGGCAACGCCGCTTAGCGTGATGTTTTCACACTCGCTTAGCCGAGGCAAATTACCGGAAAATTGGAAGTTGGCTCACATCACACCAATTTTCAAAGGTGGTCGACGCAATGAACCTTCAAGTTATCGGCCGGTGGCTCTTCTGTCATTACCTTCAAAACTCATGGAGTCCCTGATATGCGACGGTTTAAATGACTATCTACTGTCCTTAAATTTCTTCTCACCCCAACAGCATGGTTTCAGGAAGGGTTACTCTTGTATAACCAACCTGCTGACTGCGGTGGACAGATGGACAAGCATCCTCGATCGCAAGGGAAAGGTTGATGTCATTTACCTTGATTTCTCAAAAGCTTTTGATAAGGTTAACCACTTGTGTCTTATCAACAAGCTCAAACGACTAGGTATCAAACCACCTCTAATCGATTGGCTTACTTCATACCTAAAAAATCGACACTTTAAGGTTAGGGTTAATTTCACTTTATCTCAGGCTATGGAATGTCCTAGTGGGGTCCCCCAGGGCTCAGTACTAGGGCCTCTTCTCTTCTTGATCTACATAAATGATCTTCCTCAACAGGTAACGTCAGACTTATTACTTTTTGCCGACGACGTGAAACTTTGGAGAGAGATACGCAACCAAGACGATACACAGGCACTTCAGGAGGATCTGACTCGACTTCAAAGTTGGGCAGACGATAACGGACTTACCTTTAACACTTCAAAGTGTAAAGTAGTCCATCTGCGACATGTCGCAAACTACAGTTACAACTTAGGAAACTCCTCTCTAGTAGTATCCCAAGTCGAAAAAGATTTAGGAGTCCTGGTGCCCCATGATTTAAAGTCTTACGCTAACTGTGACAAAAATGCCTTCCGAGCAAACCTTGCACTGGTAACGTTGAAGCGCATTTTTGGACAGTTTGACGGACGAACTTTCCACACAATCTTCAATAGTTTCATCCGTCCCCATTTAGAGTACGGAAACATAGTACTCCCCCCTCACTCCAAAAGGACAAGGTCACTTTGGAGCGTATCCAACGGCGAGCCACGAAATCAGTTCGAGGACTCAAATCTAAGCCTTACGAAGAACGCCTCCATTCACTAGACCTTTACCCATTAGAATATAGGCGTCTTAGAGGTGATCTAATGGCTTATAGTATTCTTAACACTTCTGGACATCCTCTTAAACACCTACTTAAGCTTAGTTCGAATAATAACCTAAGGGGTAACACCCAGAAACTGGAAACACAACATAGCAAGACGGAATGTAGACACAACTTCTACTCCTTAAGAGTTGTCAAAAGCTGGAATTCGCTGCCGGCCGAGCTAGTCCAAGCGACTTCTCAGGAGTCCTTCAAGAGGCAACTTGACCTATTCTTAAGGACCAAGGACATCATCACACTATGATTTACCAATTTCTTTTCCTCTTTTATTGTTAACATACCTAGGTTCCTGCCTGGAGGATTTGGTGATCCCCTGCTACTAGACACGGAAGCCTGTTAAGCGAAAGCTTCTTCTATTCCGTCCACAACCATCTGAACCATTTGAACCATTTGAAAATGTCGTCAAGGAAAACATAAAGCGCCAGTTACGAAAATGGCTCTGACTACTGTTCTTAAGGATATCTTGCCATTGTTGGACATGTCAGTTTATTGTAACTACAAGTCAGCTTTAGAAAAAACGATTACCTGTGTATCGCAGTACTGCAAAAGTGGAGCTTGTTCTGGTAAGTAGTGTATTCTGATAATACAAAAAATAGAACATCTGAGAATATTTTTCTTAAATGAGCGTATCAACCAATTATTTGTCCTTGTTATGAAAGACTGTGGCGTTACAAACGATTTATCCTACCCAAAGCTACCCGTACTCCTAACTCCTCCACCATCACCTGGCATTAGCTCGTTGTTATGTTCTCAATGTGGACAGTTTTTAGCACTCATATCTGAAACCTGTGTGTTCGTTGTGGATGCACAGTTCGGCGCAAAAGAATTTGTCAGGTAATTTTTCTTCAAGTTTGGGTACTTTTTCCTGCGTGTAGAATCATTCGTACTTGGTTCCTACTAGTTACATTGTTTTCGAGTAAGGGGGGGAACATAAACGGTGGATTTGAAATGAAGCATTATATTCGCCACGCAGAAAGTAGTAAAATAGGAAGCCCGCTAAACTGTCTCTTTTGAAGCTTGTTTTACACTTATGTTCCGAACTCTTCGTCATTCCCTCCTTTGTCTGTTCAGATTGATTTTGCCATAGCTATTCAACAACCTATATTACCGACTACATTTGGTAAAAACCACGAAACCGAAACATGATAGACGTATTAAGTTGATCACACTCTAATTTAACGTCCGAGTCAAAAATTAAGTAGTCTCTTCAGTAGCGGACTATAATACCTAACTGCTATATTCAATGGAAGATAAATGAAACTAGAACTTTCAGTCAAGTAGTTCAACATTATATTACCAACTTACTGAACTTGATTTTCATCATTAATACTTGGTTAGTTTAGTCGTAAGTGTTTACCTAGGTGATGACCTGCAGATCAAGTAATTGTTTTCAATTACTGTCTGGCGCTTTAACCGGGTTGGTGGACATGGAGGGTCCACCTAGGGGAGTTGGAAGACCTTGATTCCAAACCAATGGTGCACATGGGCTCCAGTATCCTCAAAGAACAAATGGCGTATAAACCAATCGTCGGTCGTCGGCTACCATGGGAATGCATATCCTTACGACGCTCCACTGTCTTGTGGATCAGACCTTAAGGCCGAAGGCTCCGGGAGTGGCCTACTAAGGAAACCACCCGCTTTTGTTTGGGCACCCAGGAAGTATCACAGCCCTCACACATATCAAACGAGATTTGTGTGGCGCATATGTATTTGGTGCCCCTTATACCAATATCTATGTGTTAAAATAAAATACTGACTTGTCCGGTCAAATATTTCACAAGATACTGTAATGACCTGGATTATCAGTTGCTTCCGCTGTTTTGTATCATTGCATCTTTCTTAAACTCCGTTTCCTGTAAGCATTTGATTAATGTCAAGTTTAGAGATGGTGTGATCTTGTTCTTTTGAATAACATTTCTTATTAACGCCAATGTTTGAAGGTAAATATTCCATTCAGGTCTTGAACGTATACCTATTGATGCGAATTACGTTAATCGACTTGGGATGACTGGAAACCTCGGTTATCACTATCATAACCAAAGTTAGAAATCTGAGCAATTAAATTTCCATACTAGAACACTGAACAGACCTGCTGCTGCCATTACAAATCAAAAATTTAACTGTATGGCAAATCTTCCTCTTCAAAATAGGATAAGTTCATGTCAATCTTTCTCAAAATGCAGTCAGTCGGTGGTTTAAAGAGCTGTAACTCCTATCATTCTGGTACTCATTACAACTGTTGCAGATGGAGATATAAAATCTATATGTATTTCTGCGTGCTTATGTGTACGACCCATTAGGAATTATATAAGTAGCAAATTTCTACGCTCTGGTTGATGTAAATCACATCACCTTATTAACTTGGGATTGTTTTCTAAACCAATAATATGCAAATTTATACATAATACATTTTCCGATCAGTTCTTGCTAACCAGTAGCACTTCTCATCGTTTATTTGCGAAAACAACTCCCTTTTATCAATCAACACGGTTTATTCATGCTTTGTTGCAGAATTATTGATAGGAATTCATTTTTCACCTTCAGGTCACTAGCTATAATATGACTTAAAGTTACACTCCTTATTACTTAGTAATTTGTGCTCCGAGCGCGCAAAGCAGTTTTCAGATATAGGTTAGTTTTTTTCACGAACTAATATCGTCTGTAAAACAATTAAAAATCAATAAATAACACTAAACTCTAGGAGTCTTCTTCCAGTCACATGATTTTTCTAATGGAAAGCTCTTTCAACATCTGACAAGTCTGTGTCGTTTGTGTGCTCAAATTCTATAAGATTCGCGAGTAGAATATTTATCTCTATCATGTCAAACTAAACTTTTACCACGGAAAGCATGTCTATAGCATTTAAAATAGAAGTATCCCACCCTCACTATTTTACTATTTTTCTAGGACCAAATTGTTCGTCCAATATACTGTGCTATTGATCTTAGAGACCTTTCCTCCAAATCAAAATCAAATGACATTATAGTAAAGGTGCGGTGGCATCCAAAATCTAACAGAACATTGGTTATTGTAACCGAAAATTCCTTTATATATTACATTCATTGTGTAAAGTCCTCAGAAAATCAAAGCATTCGATTCAATTTATGGCTTGAAGCAGATCTTTCAGTATTTACTCATAGCGCTCTTGATGCTACCTACCAGGATATGAATGATTCGGATGAGAGTTCTTGCAATGAAAACGATGATAACAGTTCATCAGTGTCCAATACGAAAATGAATCTCAGTTTTGCTTTAGGCAGCAAGTGTGTCGACTTTGATTTCGGTTCCGCACTATTTATATCAAAACGCGGTTTATCGGAAGCTCAGTTACAAGATTGCTGTTTGTTCCTTCTTTACGAAACAGGTAAGAAGGTTTACTGTTTTGTAGGTTCATATCACGTTTTCCCCACTCATGTTCGTCGCATTCCGACTTTTCAGTTGTTGAAAGTAGGGCTCGATAGTTTTAAATAAATATCACCTTTTGAGTATATACTTGCGACTTGTCCGCTTCTGTTTCAAAAGGCAGTTGGTGTTACTAATTTATGAAAAGCTTGATACTAAACGTTTACAAACTTATCGGTTTACCAAACATTGGGCGTAAAATTTGATGATACCTTTAGTAGCCATTATGTTTTAGATTCATCCACCAACCCAATGTAGTGTTTCGGGACAAAACGGGATGTACTGTCCTAACTAAACCTTACTTAGATCATTTACGAGCCTTGCTCAGATGTTCAGTACTTTTCAAATTATCATGCCAGTCACTTAATCATTGTCAAAATAAGACCTAGAACAAATATGGATTGGTCCGGGATCACTTTATGCACTTAAGACATTGTCAAAGGAATCCTGTTCTATCTAAAGGATCTCGAGTCACTGACTGGTCGAAAGTTGAATGCTACCACCGACTACGAATGCTGAAAAAGTCTTTCTGAAACCACGTATACTTTAGTATCGGTTACTATGTTAAGCCCAAATAGCTTATTTTAGCTTCTGGATAGGCCAATTTATCCATTCTTCTTGAGTCACGTTTTGACCCTGTTAATTGTTCACTTATTAACCCTGACTATCTTTATATGAGCGTATGTGTGTGTACATCTTATTCTACTCATCATATGTCTGTAGCTTACTTCTGTGTGACTACGAAAAATCGATTAACGCTTGATTAAATTGAGTTGGCTCACATGCTTTCTCCAACGCGCATCATTTCGTCTCGTCTCGTTCCTTCAATCACCAGCCTGGATCAATAACTGTAAAAAATATACGCATTAGAAATCCTTTTTGGTATTTCCCGACCGTTGTTGCTACCTTGACGTGGTGGTCGGGCTTGCCTATCGTGATGAAGCAACCGAGCTATATCGGCTGTACCATATGTTCCTGTAGGTTCTACCATGCCAGGAAGGTCGATTGGAGAACGGTAAGACTAAAAGCAGCAAACTCAAGGTCTGAGGGCGTAGTCGTACTGCTGACTGTAGAGGGGTGTGACAGCAGTAAGGTGTTTCCTTCAGACAACCAGCATGACAGCGATGCTGCCTTCCCACAAGGAGGGGTGGGGTTAGAAAAGGTCGACCCTAAAAATGCACACCTCACCTTACCTCACGGATTTCCGTCTCCGGCGGTAAGGTCTCAATAAGTACGGAGCTAACACAAAAATTACCCATAACAAGGTCGTGTGTGACCGACCTCAAGCAGTTGTCCCTTGGGCACTGCGGTCACGCTCTCAGGTCACTGAGACCACCTCTAATCCAATTTCCTTTTCAGGTACCTCCAGAAGAACCCTTCCACGGTGTGGGCAACCGGGAAGTGATAACCGCCCTCATACCTCTAACAGCACTCAAGACCACTGTATTCATAATCAACCTTCCTCTTCAATTCCTATTATTCCTCCTACATCGACTTTCAACTCTAAACTTCCTCTTTCGGCTTCCTCCTCAAGTGTCACCATAGCCAACGATTCTAGTGCTCAAAACTCTGTCCCAGGTCTACTGAAACCTCGCTCCAAACTACACATTGGAGCCTTCAACGTACGCACCCTATGTCAAATCGGTCAGCAGGCTTCCTTGGCTAAAACCCTAGAGTCTCTTTCCATTGATGTATGCTGTGTCTCCGAAACACGCATACAGGATTCCAGTGTGGTCATTCACTTGACCTCACCTCGGCAAAACGGAGAGCCAACGAGATACACCCTCGTGTATCTGGTGACCCGATGGCCAGTTCTCGTGGACTGGCAGGTGTAGGCATAGCACTAAGCATGAGGGCGGAACAAGCACTGCTAGAGTGGATCCCCGTCAACAGTCGTCTATGTGCTGTTCGGCTAAACGGCTCCGTAAGAACTCGGAAGGATAGGGACACACGTCGTTGCCTTTTCGTCGTTTCTGCCTACGCTCCCACTGACTGCAGCTCAGATGATGTGAAAGATGAATTTTACAGAAAGCTTCCTGAACTTCTTCAGAAAGCTAAACGCTCAGACATAGTACTCGTAGGGGTGACTTTAATGCTCAGATAGGTAGCTTAAACCAAACAGAAAGGCATTTAGGTGGATATTTTAGCATTCCGGCACAGCGAACAGATAATGGTGATCGTCTGCTGCAACTGTGCTCAGACAATCGTTTATTTTTAGCAAACACAAATTTTAAGCATAAGGAGAGACATCGTCTAACATGGCGACCCCCTACACCAAACCAACGATGGACTCAAATAGACCATATTGCCATCAGTCATCGTTGGAGAGGGTCGGTAGAAGATTGTCGCTCATTCTGGAGTACCTGCTTGGACTCCGACCATGCCCTAATACGGGCACGCATCTGCTTGCGCCTCACTGGACGCAAAAAAGCCACATTAAAAAGACCCATTAGAACTGAGTTGAGTAGTGAGAAAACCAAAAGTAGGTTCCAGGAACAACTGAGGTCACACTTAGGTAGTTCTGAAGACGAGGCTGACCCAGATGTTGCTTGGAAAGATACAAGCAGCTGTGGAAACAGCAGTGACATCTATTAGCGACTTAAACCACAGAGTTACAAAGAACCAGTGGATTTCTTCAAAGTCTATCACACTGATGGATTCTCGCAAACTCGTCCCATCAGGTTCCGAACATGATGAAGAGCGACAACAAATCAGATCTAGGTTAAGAAAAAGTCTAAGAAACGACCGTGAGCAGTGGTGGGCAACGAAAGCAAAAGAGATGGAAAAGGCGGCGACTATAGGGAACACAAGACAGCTTTACAGACTAATAAAAGAAACTGGAATTAATAAGTCAAGTGTAAGTGAGATTATTTCGGAAAAAGACGATACCCTCATCTGCTCCCAGTCCAGACGTTTAGAACGATAAGTGGAACATTTCAGCTGGCCTTCAGCTACTCTACAACTACCCTCCATTCCCAGACAGTGTGAATGGAACATTGAAGTAGGTCCCCCAACTCTTGCTGAAGTTCAAAAGGCTATAGTTAATCTGAAACGAGGAAGGGCAGCTGGTCCAGATGGACTGGCTCCAGAGGTCTTTAAGGATGGTGGTCCAATTTTAGCGATTAGGTTGACTAATATTTTAGCTAAGATCTGGGAATTAGACGTTATCCCATCTAACTGGTCACAATCACTTATCGTCCCAATATATAAGAAAGGGTCAAAATCATCCTGTGACAACCACAGAGGGATTAGTTTAACTAATATAATATCTAAAATACTAGCCTCGATAATTATCAGACGCCTAACTAAGACTCGTGAACTGCAAACACGAGAGAACCAAGCTGGCTTCAGACCTGGTCGTGGCTGCATCGACCACATATTCACCATTCGTCAGATTCTAGAACACAGGCATACTTATCGGCGTCCGACAATGGTGGTCTTTCTTGACTTAAAAGCAGCATTTGACTCTGTAGACCGCGAGATTCTGTGGCAGTGTCTGTCATTGAAAGGCGTACCCCAGAAGTACATAAACCTTGTAAAGGCTCTTTACTCGAACACTACTAGTCGAGTCAGAGCTTATGGCGAACTGTCATCTACTTTTGCAACCTCAAGTGGTGTCCGTCAAGGCTGTCCACTTTCCCCATTTTTGTTTAACTTCATCATAGACCTACTGATGGAAATAACGTTCTCGTCGACTGAATTCTCGGGTATTGATCTACTTCCAGGAGGTCCACTTATCGACTTAGAATACGCAGATGACATAGTCCTGTTTGGTGAAGACGCTGACAAAATGCAGAGTCTTCTGGTAGCACTAAGCAACAATGCCAGAATGTTTGGAATGCGCTTCTCTCCCTCTAAATGCAAGTTGTTGCTTCAGGACTGGTCTGCGTCAACACCTGAACTAAGGATAGGGAGTGAAGTAGTCGAACGCGTTGACAACTTCACTTATCTTGGAAGTCTGATCAGCCCTAATGGGTTGGTGTCTGACGAAATCTCAGCACGGATTCGAAAAGCTCGTTTGGCTTTTGCCAACTTACGTCACCTATGGCGAAGGCGAGATATCCGTCTATCAATAAAAGGACGAGTATACTGCGCGGCAGTTTGTTCTGTTCTAATTTACGGCAGCGAAACATGGCCATTAAGAGTAGAAGACACTCGTAAGCTATTAGTATTTGACCACAGATGCCTTAGAAATATTGCTGGCGTCTGCTGGGATCACCGGGTAAGTAATAGTGAGGTTAGACGCAGGGTATTAGGAAATGATGGTAAATCAGTTGATGAGGTTATGAATCTTCATCGACTGAGATGGTTGGGCCACGTATTACGTATGCCTGAACACCGATTACCACGACGTGCAATGCTATCCGGTATTGGAGATGGTTGGAAGAAAGTTAGGGGCGGCCGAACCAAAACATGTCATCAGTGCTTGAAGTCACTAACTTCTAGTCTGAGCCATGTTGGTAGATGCAGACTACTTGATTGGGGTCCGCGTGACTTTCGTAACCAATGGTTGGAGACTGTGGGTGACATGGCTCAGAATCGATCACAATGGCGTCGGTGTATACACTCCCTGTCTTCCCTTAAACTAAGAGATTAAAATCACTTCATATCTTTCTTTCTACGAACCAATTCTTTCTTCTTGTACTATATCTCTATATGCAATCTTCCTCTTATTTATTACCACCTTTGACCTAACCACTGCTATGAATCCGGTGTTCATCTTGTTGTGCTGATGCGGTATGGCAACCTGGACCGATGCACATATGTGCCTGGTCCTACGTTGTAGCTGACTGACTGACTTTTTGGTATTTGACTCATTTTAATTCCGTTATTCACTAACGCGAGTTAATTCGATAGTTATATACGAGGATAGCAAGAATATATATTTTGACAACAATCATTGATCCAGGCTGACGATCAAAGGAACGAAGCGAAACGAAATGATGCGCAGTGGAGAAGGCACGTGAGCCAACTCAATTTAATCAGGCTTTAATCAATATCTGTAGTCACACATAAATAAGCTACAGACATGTGATGAGTAGGATAAGATGTACACACACATACGCTCATATAAAGATAGTCAGGGTTGATAAGTGAAAAGCGGATAGGTGGTCAGTGTATGACATAGTGTCGTGGTATGAAAGAAAGCTGTACAGGACCCGCTTCTGTTGGTTCACCATGACTCCCTGGTTGGAGTCCAGGAGATGATGCAACACAGTGTCTTGAGACGTTATCAGACATGGCTCATGGTAGAAGCCAGTGGCGATTCTGTTGTAACTTTATTTTACTTCATAAAAAATGAACGTAACATTTTTAACTGAAAGGATTCTTTATGGTTGTATTTTTGCTAACTGAACTGCCTCTCCCATTATTATTATTTCACTCTCATACACTAATTTCTGTTCATTGTTGTTCTTTTTCTTATACACACTTTACATTCTCTATCTCTTCACAGTCTCATTGTCATTGTGTGGTGCATATGTATTTGGTACCCCTCTGTACCAATATTTATGTCCACATACATAAACGATTGTAGATGTTATGCGGACATCAACGACAAAGTGTTTTTCCACATACATATCCGATTTTCCTATTTTATTCAAATCCCTTCTTGAGTTTTTACATTGATTTTTCCCTGTTATTATAAAATATGTTTAGTCTAATTTATCATGTATTAGTTATTTGAACCCCACCTTATGTTTAAGACTGCAAATGATTAGTCCCTTATCGGCATATGTGCATCCTTTATGGATTGCCTCGATATTGCCTGAAGTCAGAAGCGTTATTTTGTTCAGTCAAAGTTATCAGTCAAATGTTATCTTTTCACTCTAACCAAAACGTTTTGACATAGTTTTCAATCTAATTAGAATGTCTCGAAAATTGCCCTTATAATGTTTAGTATAATATGCAAATAAAAATATCACCCTTGGTAAATCTGTATATTCTTCTTCAGAACCAATGTATTTTTGGCAATTTTCTGTGTAGTATAGTTTTTTTATGCATATCAATTTATTCACAGTGAAAGAGTACGCATTAAAACATAAAGGTTATTTTTACTGAGCAATAGTCACTAAGTTACTGAATCTTTAACCGCTATTCACTCGGCTTTTCTATAATTAGTCTTATTTTTAATAGTAGTAATAATAATAATAACAAAAATATTCACAAAGATTCTCTTTGAGTATATCTTGATAAACATTGAGGAAAAAATAAACGAAATTGTATATTCAAAATAATGTAAGTAATTAATAACAATAAGTTTTCATTGATTTATATAGGTGATGTTATTCAAGTATGTGGATGCTTGTCCGTTCGTAAAATGAATCAGCTAAAATGTAATATTTTGCACATTTTCCCACCATCAATTGATAATTATGGAGATGAATTTTGTGCTATTCATTGTATTCGTCCTATTGACAGTTCAGAAATGTTTTCATTTGAAAAACCTCCTGATATATTAGTGTTAGCTGATAAAATTGGTCGTTTGCATAATGGTATTGTTCTGCGAGCCAATATACCTGGACAGAATAAAAACAGTGAGTTTATTTTTAAAGATTTCGTTATGTTGGTGGACTGGTTGTGAAATTGTTGACTGTCTTAATATACTTTCACTTTGAATTTACATACAGTTAAACGTTTCATTATCACTTTTGGATTCAATACCTTTCTCTTAGTCACTAGACAGTAAAGTGAACAGACTTTTCGTGAGTATATCTTCAAGAATTGTTTTTGCTTGATTAAATTCAACTTCAATGATTTGTAAAGAAAAAGTCGATTGGTCCAATTATAACTAATTCATTTGTGGATATAGTAGTCGAAATGAACCGTATTCATGAACTAATAATCCTACTACTGAATTAGTCGAACACTTAAAACTACTTTTCATAGTTTTTATGTTGTTGTTGTTGTGAACTGATGATAATGTACCTATAGCCCATACTTTCAATCTTTTAGCACATATCTTTGTGTAAATAACTGAAATTATTTACTATTGTAATTGAATTAAATAATTTAGAACTTAGCAAGCTACTGAATTGGTTCTGAACTCTAATTGCTAATGACTAAGCGAAAAATATCAGATATAAAAACCAGAAATTCACGAAAATCCAATTAAATAGAGGCAAAAGTTAATTAATGGTACATAATTACTGAATAAAATAGGCAATAAGTTCATTCATTGGATTAGTGGTAATTTTGAACTACATGATTTTAAGTTTCAAGTTACATTAGTCAAAATGTCGTTATGGAATTTTTTCCTATTCATAGTGACCAATTTTAGTTTTTTTATGGAATTTTCCTCGTGATATTTATATTGTTAGGCATTTTTTTAGATATATGAGACACATGACTTGGGTATGCTTCTTACTATATTTGGACTCAAATCAAGGATGTAGATATATTTCAATTTGTGGATTACTGTTTAGCCATTGAATCTAATTAAGGTTACTACGTTTTTGTAACTTGGATTCATTAGTTGTAAAGGGAAATCACCACTTGATATGACTGTTTACTGTCTCTTCTTGTAACAAATTATCAAGTACAGGTTTGCTTACCCCGGCTTTCAGCTGCATTGTTTGTACGAGGGCTAGCGTAACATTACTTGACTACTCGAACCGAATTACGTGAAACTGTGTTCTGACCTGTAATCTTTTGTCAGAAAACTGGATGCTTTGACTACTAATCCAGATTTCCTGATCGGTGAAATCATCAGTCAGTCAGTAACAACGTAGACGGTGAAATCATAGTATTCTATGATCACTGACGTTACATGATAACGACCCAAAATCGGTCACCGTTCCATAATTGCATTCATTCGTTGTCTTGCTCTAAATATTTAGTCTTAATATTATTCCATACTTTTTCAATTCATATTCTCTATTTTTAGCGGAATATAGATTGGGTTAAAGCATGTTCCGTGCAAGATTGTGTTGGTGCATGCTGATTGGCTATTTCTTATCCAATCAGCGCTAACAGATACTTGTAGAAGACTCTAGAATCTTCTCATGTAGAAACTGTAAATATACTAACGCTTTTCTTATGGTGCTTCTTACTTCCATCTATCCTTATTATTTGGGATATAATTCCGTTCCTCCTCAATTAGGTTCTGATTTAGGGACTTGTCAAGTAAATCTGGTGTCCAAGAATACTAAGCAATAGAAATAGCTGGGTCGTAATAAGAGAAATTATAACATCTACATATTTAGTTTTACTATTATTAGAAACTTTATTTTGTATCTTTTAATTATCATCTTTGTTAATTTCCTCTCTCTGTGCTAATGTGATGTAAACAACAGGTACATAGATCGATACCTGGATGTTTTTCTAAACACGATTTGCATTAATTTACTTTTATATTGTGGAAATTTTCGAGAAATTTATTTCCTAATCATTATTGTCACTTTAATATGTTTTCTCTAACTTACCAAATCTTTAATCTTTATTAGAACAAAAATAAAACATTCTTTTTTATTCTTTCAGAAAATCAAACTACAACCCCTCCAGTTTTACTCTGTCTCGTTGATATTGTGGATCTTGATCTAATGTCTAGTAATAGAACAACTGTGCAACAGTGTCATCCAAACGGTAGTATACTTCATTCTTCAAATTATTCTTATTACAATCATTTTGAATCTCCATCGTTGTCATTAGAACCAGCTAATCTAAATTTTTTGGACAATATTGAATATAATAGTTATTCAATAGATGGTTCAGATTTTGTTAAAAATAGAATTTTTGGCTTGAAATATTCACATCAAGGATATTATGTAATTCATCATATGGGCATTCATCTTGTTAGTCTGTCATGGATTGAAAATCTTTCACTATGGTGTAGTGAATTTAACAGTCAATTGTTAAATGATTCTAATAAATCTCTTATTGAAGGTAATTATCACACATTGTTAAATGATTATTAAATATAATAATTTTTTATGATAAAGAAATATTAATTAATTCAACCTACAATGTTTAACACTAGCCACCGCACCAACGTGTATTTCTAGATGGTTTAAAACTATATTAGACTAATTAGCTGGGGACATGGAAGTAGTCGATGAAGTTATCAACTTTTGGTCTGCTTTTTTTCGATTCCAACATTCTTTTGAATATAACATTATGCTTACTTTCACTCTATAATGTTGTTAAAATCAGATATATCTGTCTGTTTTTATTTGAACTAATTTATTCATATGTCATACTTCAAAATGAACAAATACTTGTCTATGAAATCATAGATCGAGTATGTTTTACTAATTGAATGAATTTGAAGAAAAAACATCAGTAAACTTTAAATTAACTACAGCACGCTGATCATAATACTGAGAGTTTACTTACCTTAGTTTCAGAAAATTTTATTATAGACTATCATTGAAAAAGACGAAAAAAGTTGTATAATGGTTTCCGGTGTTCATTGAAATTTTCAAATATTGTCGGTTTGCAGATGAAATAAACATCTAGTGATATAGTGTCACACAAACCCACAACCTGATTGAAATTCATTATTTAGTGGTAGATCTTCATTTACTAGAAATTAAATGTATCACTATGTAGAGATGCCAAGTTTTTTTTCATGATTATGACTTGACCATAAATTGATCATTCTCTGATGGTTTATTTTCGTCGGAAATTTTTGAATTTTTTTATTTCAGAGATTCGGGATTGGCAGTCATGTGTGAAACACCTTGTCTGTGGCCAAATTACCATCTCTACCCCTGATGGGATGAATGAAGATATGGAGGGAAAGTTTAGACTAGCTGGCTTCATTGAACTATCATGTAATTTCCTGTCAAAAAGTCAACCGAAATCTAAAACTACAACCACATTAGCTGATTGTCGATCAACTAAAGGTGTCACACTTTTGTTTATTCGTGCACCTATCCAACCAATTGATTCAACTGCCGGTATAACTGATTATTCATGTTTGGTACATTTCATCAGTCTAACACGGAAACCTGAAAGTTATGCTATGAAACAACGTTATACTGGGTTAGATTCAAGGTTATTAAATTTATCTATCTTCATACTCATATGATAACTGCATTGAATATAAGTCTTGATAAAAATAACTATAGCTGGTCAAACTTGTCTTTGCAATATGATTTATTTATTTCTATAGTTTACAGCAAATGTAGTAATAGGCAACCGTTTGACAAGTCTAATGCTCGAACATTTGATATCGACTTCTAACTCCTTCCTATTTTTCCATAAATCCCTAACATTTGATCAGGAAACAAAAGGCGGAAAAGTATGAGAAGTGGCTTCACTCCCAAGGTTATTTCAGGTACAAAAAAACGAGGATATTTATAAGTTTATGTGTGATCGTGATATCCTGGAAGCTTCCGGATATCAACTAAAATTCGTAACAAAATCGGTAATTATTCACTTAGGATATGAAATGTAATCTGTCACTTTTCAAGTTTCTATTGAAATCTGATCCAGCAAAGCGTTCCCAACCTTTTCCTGGTTTCTGAATAAAGATCTACCCTCGTCTCATTCAGAAATCTATAAAAGTTGACTGAAACTGAACAAAATTGTTTTTCTTTGATTTTCTTTGCATAAGTACAGTAAATCCATTTTGTACAGTCTGATTTTTATTCATGTCGTAAATAATGAAGTTGAACATCGTTGTTCGATTATTGCCTTGATTGAAGTACGATCGTGTATCTGGTAATTAACATCCGGAACTATTGACCCAACAATTACAGATTTTGCCTTAAAAATGAACAGATTAGATACTTTGGTATGATTCTGGTTTGTATAGTTGGCCTTCAGAAGGAAAATTAAAGATTCGTATATTTTAACGACACTTGGTTAACTTGGATTTTCGGACAATAGAACACAGAGTAACGAAACACTTATAAATACAAATGATCATAAGATTCAAATGTCAACCTAAATAGTCAAAAGGTGGTTGTACATCACAATGAAGTATCTTCAAAAAGCATTATTTAAAATCAGTTTAAATATTCATGCAATTATTAATAGAAACAGGTCTAGGTCAAAATATTAGCTATACGCTGATACTAATCTTAGTACAGAAACTTGTTCTTGTTTAATAACTTACATGTATGCCGCACTCCACTCTCACTTTCATAAATATATTGACTGAAAGATATTCTTTATCATTCTCTGGACTCGCATTTATCACGTACATTTTTATGTATTTGACTTTGAGTAGTCCCACTGTTCTTATGAAGACCATTGTTACTACCCAGCTGATAAGATTAAAGGTGCAGTGGCGTCTGATTGTACAATTTACTTTTTAAAAGCCAAATGTTTTAACCATTAGGTCTTCGTTCCATTCTCTCAGGTACTATCGTGTATGTAACATTACTATGATGTGTACTTTTTTAAACTTGTTTTCATCGTTATGGAAATAAGTTTAGTACATTATTAAAACCAGGTAGGACTAGTGATTCGTCTTGTTTTTGTGTGGGACTTCTCTGCGCTGTCAGTCGACAGTCACTTCTCCTTAATCAGGTGCATACTTTAAGAGTTATTTTTATTCATTTTTTGAACTTATTTCATCCTCGTCATATGTGTGATGTACAATGTAAGTTGGTAAATTCTTTTGCCTTTTTATATCTCAGAACTACTGATCATTATGATTCCTGTGATTCAACTCTCCGTTCACATTTCACATCTCAAATAAAACAAGTGTTATCGGGAGACAATTCACATTTTCCGATGATAACCGGTTTAAATTTACAACCCGATCTTACCCAGCAACAGTTGGTTCAATTTTTTATTAAGGTAATGTGTGAATCTTATAATTCAGTTCCTGAATATTAATTGTTACTGGTGGTAGTTGCACCGATATTGAAACTATAACTACTTACTCGTGAAATGTTTCTAAATTCATTTTGTCTGGTTGTTAGTTTCATATATAATGATCAAATCAGAACATCATAGTCTAGATCGGTGCTTACCACTTTTGTTCGAAGCCCACTCTGCCTACTTTGGCTTAAGAAACTGGTTAGTATCATTAGCCTTCACACCGCTGCACATACATAATGAACAAGTTGGTTATTATTCCGAACTCATTGTTTGATTGCAGGCCTTTAAGATTTCTAACTTCTGACTAGTCAAAATGATTATCATAACTTTTAATGCAATCGTAAATATGCTATCATACTTCGAAATTTTGAATGACTGGAAATAAGTAACCTTATGTAGTTTGATTTGTTTTAGGTCTCTGATATACTGCGCAAAGGACCTCTAGATCGTCTAATGAAAGCTCGCTCAATGATTGAACATCATTCTAGACAGTTACAAGATATAATTTCAGCTCAACATTCCGAAGCAATGAAGCTAACATCTGAACGTCAAACTTTACAATCTAAAGCTGAGGACTTAGCAAAACGTCACTCTGTAATCGCCGAGCGTCAAAGTATGTTAGATAAACGTATGGCTAACTTAGCAACTCGTTTAGCCGGTAAGTAAATAGTTCTTTAACTTACTGTTACATTCTTATAAATTTTAAAACAAAATGTAAGAATGTGTTGCTGAAGCTTACGCCTATTTAACACTATAAAAACTGAATGTAGCGATTACCAGGTATCCTGATCAAGTCAGTCAGTTTTAAGCAACATCGGATCTCCTATAGGTATGCATCAGCTCAAGTTGCTACATTTCACCAACACAGCAACGTTGACTCAACAAATCAAATAACGAGATTTGAAATATCCTTATAAAATACTAGATATAGAGGAACGTGTTTGTAATTAAAAAATGATGTGACGTTACGTAGTAGTGGGATACTATTAGGATTCATGGTCTGGTATCTGGACTACTGAGACCGATCTTCAACCTCGTCTCGTGAGGTCCCTAATTATGAACTGCAACTATCGTACTAGCTCCAACTAGATACTCGGAGCCTACTAATATAGCTCACACTAGGAGCCAGTGACTTAATTCCACTCCGTCTGCAGTCTGCTGTTTCGTTAACCAGCACTGCTAATTGAAGTACTACCTTGTACGGTATTATGCGAAATTATAAGGTGACTGAAACATAGTAAGATCTTTGGGTTATGGGTTTTTCTAGCCAGTAAAATTTTTTTAAAACCTTGCATGTTATGACATTCCTTTCGGGAAATGTCTAACTGTACAATAAATGGGTTAAAGGCAATTATAGGGGTGAAATTACCGATATTTCTTGTTAATGTTTGTTGAGATTCACATGATTTGCTGTGAAACAGTTTACAAAGTTGTTTTACGAGACTCGGATTGAAATTCGCTATTGTAAGTGATTACATCCAATCAGTTGTAGTGCTTTACATTTCAGATATAAATAAATCCTATGTCGTTCTGATGTTCCTTTGTTAATATAGATCATAGTATTCGTTTAATTAATTATATTTCAGTAATCAGGCTAACTGACCTATGCAGACTATTGTTTTTTAGTTGGATCACAAATTGACCCGTGAAAAGTCACTCATCTCATTTGATTAAAGCTTAAAGTAGAGTAATGCGCAAGCGCTTTAGTATGCGATACCTGCTCATGTAAAAACCCCACATATACTATCATGGTTGCTTGGCTCGTCTGTAATATTCCTCTGAACTCCGAAAGAGTAGCTTACTACCTGATTTTCTGTTTAAATGAATGGAAGTTAATGAGTCGAAATGATAGTTCATTTAGATCAGTTTGTCCCATCTATTGCAACCTTTAATATATAGTGGTGAAATATCTTCAAAACTAAAACTCTTCCACTTCAGTTATTTTTAACGTGTATTATCCTGTAAGTGTTCATTATTGATTTCCACTGATATGGTTATAATTACTTCTGTGTTTAGCTTTAGGCGAAGGTCCTACTAAAGCTGAAATCGCAATGCGTAGTGAAGTTATCGTAATTCGTGATCGTCTACACAAAGGCCTTAGGCAATGGTTATCGAATCTCAAGAACCGTCGTGACAAATTGGAAAAACAAATACTGTTGCGCAAAAAAACAGATAAATCATCTATTCGTAACTCTCTTTCCGGTAGCCTTCTTAGAACCACCGAAAATATCGAAGGAAATCAGTGGCAAACAGTATCAGAAGAACTTCGCCGGGAAACTTTAGAAATCAAAATGTTAATTAACGCAGTTAAAACGCTTAACACAAAGACTATAAATCCCACCTAGTGTCTTATTTTATTTTCCCGTATATAAATAATTCCAGATAGAAATAATACTGAACTCGTTCATTTGGATTATTTTGTACACCTGTAAGTTAATTTTATAGGTAAATTATCCTATGAGTTATAAATACTCGACCTTGTGACACTACTTTTATTTTTGAGTACTAAACTTTGTCGAGTAAAAAAGATTGTTCAGTGTGTTTCACTCATATAATACGTGTGTATCAACTTTAACACATAAAATTTTGGTTTACTGGGCTGTAAATTCCGATGTGTAATGAGCTTTTAAGAAAAATAGTCCATACCTGAATGAAAACCTTTATGCCAAAAACGGCGATATCCTAAGCTGTTCTGGCAGATCACATGACACCAAGATTTCATTATAGGTCAAGTGCTAACAAGGGAAAAGTACGTTGAATGATTTAAATGCTTACTAATCGAAGGTTCTGACTAACTTCAAATGCTGAAATCAGTCTATCTACCTATAAGCGCGTATAACCTGTGATAGTATTCAGTGCAGTACTATTATTCGTCTGAGAGATCATAGTTGTTGGGATATCTCATATTTCCAAGTTTCAAACTTGGAAACCATAAGCGGTAAATCGGGTCGGACTTGTTTATCTCCAACCTCTAAAATTTTTGCATGGGTTTGATGTGTTTATCAGTTGGAGCTATCAGTTTGTTCTCAGTGTTCTTTGCTTACTCAATTATTAGAGTTGGTAAAAATGTGGTGTATGCTACTTACTGTGAAAGATATAATTAGTATGTAACAACAATTGGAAGTGGAATGCTTGGCAGCAGAAGATTGAAATGAAGACAACAGGGAGGAAATTGGAGAGTAATCGAAGTAACAACAGAATTAGAGGAATAGTGGAGCATGTGGAGAACAACCCAAAGAAACAGTGCGAATGGTGTATTTAATGTATGGTTTTCATATTTTACCGAATCACTGTAATTCTGTATTAATCAATAAACTGGTTTTCCCCACCTGAGTTTACGTTCGCTACACTAGTATCTTGAGTAACTAGAGCGAAAATGGAGAACGAAACTAAAAATCTTAGAGTTATTGACAATCTAACTGGTCAGCCATTTAAATCGTTACAGAATCTGTTTAACACCAAGTCACTCGGAAGTGACTGGTAGTAGTGTTATTAGGTTCTCTTGACCTTGCTGTAAATGTCAAACATAATTCACCTCACAGAAACTCAGCTGCAGGAGCCATGAGTGTGAACAAATAATCATCTCCTTTCTTTTAATCTTTGAGTTATCTTGTTAGAAGGGATTTTTGTACAAGTAGTATTCAGTTTCACGTTTCTTAGTCATATTTATGGATTTTTTTCGTGATTAGTTCATTTTAACTCAAAAGAGTGAAAGGACAGTAATAGATCTAAACCTAAGGAGTACAGGTCCCTTTCGTGTGTTCAACTACTCAAACTTACTGTATGATGATGTGGATTCTAGACTGCTTGTATGAGAGGGGCAAAAGCCATAAGAATTTCCGGCGCGACTAAAATTTATGGACGAATCAATCAGATATAAGATAACAGGTCTTGAAATTTGGTGCGGAATTCATCCAACCATTTGGCTTAATAGCGTCTTGGCATTTTAGGGGCGAGACTATAATTTATGGACGACCTTTGAACGAATCTTTAAGTGACCTTGAGAAATATTAGCCAATCAACAAACAGTCAGTATAAAGTAAAAATATGTTATAGAAAACCAAGGAAATAAAGTGGATACACTCCTTATACGTGGTAATGCATGCAGTGGAGGAAATCATCCATACAGCTACAGAATAGTCGGCCTCCGGTTGTTTAGTGCATGCTCTCCAAACATCCGTATATATTGTAGTACCTGGCTGCAGCCAGTGTTACTGGTGCTTTTATTATCCAGTTCGCAATAATTGTCGTAATTTGCCTTAGTTAGGAATTATATATGGGGTTTTCATCACAAACTGACATCAGCTATAATGCCAGAAATTTATTTAGCCAAATGGATGGAAGGCTTTCGCGCCAAAATTCGTCCACAAATTATAGTCTCGCCGTTTTATTTATTATAACCGCCCAATTATCACGTTTTGTACAAAATTCCCTGTGAACCGATCGTACGTTAGCATTAAGCACTGAAGTTGGTGCCGTAAACTTGATTGGCTCGTCCATAAATTAGAGTCTCGCCATTTTAGGTATTGAAGTACACTGCTCACGTCGTTTACTTCCTCCTTTAGTCCCTAGTTTGTTTCTGCTCGTTTTCAGAAGAAAAAGATTGGGAATCTGCTCAGTCGGTCGCAAGAATAGTCAGATTTAATTCGGGCTAGGATCTCTTCTGGAACGATAACCACTCGCATACTCTTTACTAATTCGATTTTCCGCATGACCTTTGTCCTCCGATTGGTCCCCATGTTTTTTAGTTTGATGGGTTGCTACATGCTCGAAGGTCATGTTCTGCCACTACAGTAACAACTTTGGTACGAATTTCTCTTGAATTGCTTGTTATACTACAATTGTTAGGTTACCCGCAATCCCATCTTCTTTCTGTCTTAGCCGTCGAGGTTTGATGTGTTGAGCATAATTAATTGTTGTTAATTTAGAAGAAAACGGATCATATTAGAAAAGTTCAATCGTTTTGTTCCTAAATCCGCAAAGTAATAGGCTGTACTGAACCCCAATATCCTTCTTTAACCAAGAACGATCTCCTACTGTCTAGGCGTAAAACATATTGGACTTATATTTATCTGTCTCCGCATAAAGATATAAAACATTCGTGACTGGTGGTGATATGTCTTTACAGTATAAGTTGGAAATTACTCCCTGGTTAAAATGACCTCTTCTTAGTTTACACAACCTTGAAGGGCTGGGGTAGCTGAGGGAATTCAGTATTTGAATACCACGAACTGGTCCCACAGATGGTGTCCCGCCTCGCTTTGCTAGTATATTTGCATCTGTGCTTAATGAATGATTTTCAAATATTCTTATTATTGGTTCACTTCTATTATTGCTTACTATTTTATTATTCTGTACCTAAATAAAATCTTACTAATGGTTAATAGTGATACTATTGTATCAATTATTTAAAATACAGCTCCCGTCGACTTATAATTTCTTTTTCGACAACGGTTGTTCGGTCAGAGGTTCTTCATTGAGAGGAATTCGAACATGCTTTTAATGACTTTCTACAGGTAAATGGAGCATGAATTATATGAATACAGATAACGTGTACTCATTGCACTTATCAGCGAATTGAAGAAAATCGCAATGAGAGTTGGAAGTATTTATATTTTATTTCGGAATCCACTTTTGGTGTTTAGAGACACTTAAAGTGCTAGAGGCGTTAAATCTGTAAGGATGTGTTTATGTTGAAATAGTGTAGTTGGAAGTATCCCAGTTGTACGTCTATTCTTCGAGTTCCTGTAAATGGTGGTGATTAAACGATACGTCCTTTCAATCATACATCTTCCGCAGGATTTTTATGTGATCCATTGATTAGAAGTTTATCAGATGGATAGGAGGAAAACGTATCCACTTCATTATTATGTAATTCTAATGAGGTTTCTTTTATATCTCTTGAAAAATGAATATAAAATTTTAATTACTGTTTGATATAAGATACAAAGATTGATTTGATATTACCTCATTGAAGATTCGACTGTCTTAATCATTACATTATCTATGTGAATAATAATACAGATACATTTTGTGAACGAATATCTTAACGATAAAGTTCTTTGATCTTTTGTTCTTATGAAAATATTTTGTAATTGAAACGCTAAGCAGTAAATTTTAAATATCGTTTGAAATTTATTATAATAGAAAATGAAATAATTAATCTTAGTAGGAGATATATATATTGATTGTTGAAAAGTTACGGGACTTCAGGATTCCAAATTAACACTTGTCTCGTAATGCAATTTGATGATTTCCGTAATGTATATCCTATCCATCTTCAACATCTTTTCCTTTTCAGATGAACGTTGATTCGTTCTCTCTCACGTTAGGCTGCTGCTGACAGTATCCGGCCAACGGACATTCAGTATCTTATGTACACAATTGTTTATAAATACTTGTACCATTTTTGATAATGGTTGTGTTAGTTCTACAATTTTTAGTAAAACTGTCTTGGCGTTCGTATTTAATATTCTGAGTTTGATGTTGACTGACAGTTGTCTTAACTTCCATATGTTCTTCAACTCTAGGAATGCTGTTATTGCTTTACCAATCCTCGCCTTTACGTCTGCATCAAAGCCTCCTTGTTCATCGATGATGTTACCAGGTACGTGAAGGATTCCACATCTTCCATAGCCTCTCTATCAAGTGTGATTGGGTTGATGTTCTCCGTGTTGTATTTGAGGATCTAGCTTTCTTCATTTTGTATGTTGAGGCCTACTGATGAAGAGGCTGCTGCTATACTAGTTGTCTTTATCTGCAATTGTTGGTGTGTATAAGTTAAGAGGGCTAGGTCATCTGCGAAGTCTGTTCATTGAATTCCTCAGTCAATTAGAGCACAAAATAATTTGTTGTTGCCAATAAATGTAGTCTCTGACTTAAAAATTACTTCGATAATTTTGTCATCTACGGAATCCTCGACCATATTACTATTTATCATTTTTTGTCACTGGTTGGAATATTGGTCACGTTTCAAAATGTCTTTTGATTTGTTGAGTCACATAGTTGTAAACTTTCTTACTTTTGCTTATGATACCTCTATTTAAGGTTCAAAAGTTTTCTATTTGATTCTAATATACACAATCATTTACATCAACCAATATAGGAGGATATATTCTAAGATACTGTAGACATTGTCTTGAGTTACAAGTTTTCGGTGTCACAGATACTACTGTCAAGTATAAAGTATTTACTTTAATATAATAAACAACACAACTCGAGTCCTATTAACATTGCTGGAAAGGTAGAGATTGTACATTCTAGTTCGGTTTTTTCTTCATTTTCTTTTCAAGTGACTCAATAAGACTCTACTTTTTGTAAAAATACTGTGTTTTGGTATTCATTCGCAGGATACTTTTTTTCATTTCTAAGTAAAATTATACAATCTTATATCAATTTATGATATAAAAAAGCTGATACATTGTAAAAACAACCTGTATACTATGTGCAAATTATCAAACAACATAAATAGAAAGAAACCTTTAAAGTTTATAGAATAATACCGGATAATTAAATCACTAAGCCATAGAATCTACAACATTTCTATCAAACTACGAAACAATCAATCCATATTTCTTCTCTTTTTCAAACTTATTTAGTTTAAAGGATTCAAAGTTAAACTACTTTCATTGAATTCAAAAAAAGTGAATGATTTATATATTACTGATATTTCGTTTCCTATTTTGGTTAGATCGCTTAGTAAAAAGAAGAATGAAAAAAAGAAAGAAAACAACAACAAATGAAAAGGAAACATTTTTTTCTGGAATAAGACAATGACACTTGCGATTGGTTCATTTTAATATAAAAAATAGGAATGAAAATCAATATACAATAAATTTACATGGATTCACACATAAGAAAAAAAGGAATTTTATAATCGTAAAAGGGTAGACAAGTAATTTTTCAACAAAAAAAACTAGAAAAAATGTAGTTAACCGTGTAAAGTTAATTTAGTGAATTGAATCTAATAAATTCAGTATAATATAATGATATGAAAACTGTGGTATGAATATTATGTCTATCTTACTTAAATTGTATATCAAATTTTAAACTAGAAAAGTGGAAACTCAATATTTACAATTAACATAAATGGGATGTTGATATAAAATAGATTGAAAGTTAACAACTGTTTCATGTTTAGGCACAAAGATTCGACTAACTTGATCTTTCATGAATTTATTTGAGTCTGAGGTATTATACTGAATCCTGACACTTATTTATGATTGAGATCATGAACCGATAGACGTTAGACCACAGTGGAAAACCTGGAAGCACTGGACATCCGTTTCGTTCTATTGTGGGACTACTTAGCAGTGTACATCCACGGTCCCTCTCGCAGGATTTGGACCCAGAGCCTTCAGTTTCGTGTGCGAACGCATAACCTACTGGACCATTGAACCGGTATCCAATGGTGTTAGTGTTTAACATCAACCAATCCACAAAATTGCGTGACCAGGTTTCCAACGGTGATCTAATATCAATCGGTTCATGATCTCAATCTCCACAACCCCCATACTTATTAATGAATCTAACGATGAGTAATTATGATTGCATCATCTATACTTGTCTTTCTCCGAAATCAACCAAACCCTAAAATATTTTTTCTACTATGGAAAATAAAGAATAATCAGCTCTGGAATTGTGGTAACCCATGAATCTTCTGCGAACCTCTTTCATATTCTGGTTCAATATTATTTTTTAACTAATGAAATATTTGAAATTTTGAACTCCGCCTGTAGCTCTTATAGGGTTACTGCCGGTCCCAAGCCCGGGTAAAGGAGGAGGGTTGGGCATGGGGTTAGCGTCCCCATCCCGTAGAAAACTAACTCGCTAAAAAAACGCTTACCAGAAAAAATAATCCAAACCATTTAAACTCTGCCCTGGGAGTTAGAAGGTCTTCAGTTAGAAGAATTATGACGCTTCATGGTGAAAGCCGAGTTCCTTCGGAAGCCACGAGGCCGATGCCCCTTCTAACAACCAGAG